AAATCTACAACAGAAAGGCTGAAAAAGAAAAGAATCAAGGTGTTGCAACGGCCCAGTCAAAGTCCAGACCTCAACCTGATTGAAATGCTGTGGCGGGACCCCAAGAGAGATGTTCATAAACAAATGCCCGCAAGCCTCAATGAACTGAAGCAATGTTGTAAAGAAGAGTGGGCCAAAATTCCTTCACAACGGTGTGAGAGACTGATAAAGTCATACAGAAAACGATTACTTCAAGTTATTGCTGGTCAAGGTGGTTCTACAAGCTACTGAATCATAAGGTGTACTTAGTTTTTCACACATGGCTTCTACATTTTGGCTTTCTTTTTGTAAAATAAATGATGACACAGTGTAATACGTCATGTGTTGTTGTTCATCTAAGGCTGTATTTACCTACTTTTGAGAACTGCTAAGGACCAGATGGTTTTTATGATGTCCTGATACGTAAAACCATAGAACTCAAAAATGGTGTGCTTTCTTTTTCACACGACTGTATATACCAATCTCATAGGAGGACATGGATCACAAAGTTCTTCAACTGATGGGGGAGAGTCCAAAAAGATTCTATTCCAGTCACATTTATTTATATAAATTAATTCTAGATTGTCCGATCTTATCAACTCTGGCTAGTATACAATAAATCAATAAATGCAGTATCTAAAAATAACCCTAAAACCCACATTAAAAGGAAGGAAGGAAGGAAGGAAGATTGCTAGATATGCCTTGTTAGAAGCCAAAAAACCTTCAAAAGGAATAGCTTTAATGCTTACCAAAACGTCAGAAGTGAAAGGTCCAGTTGCATCTCTGGGAGCAATTGGATTGCACAAACAATGAAAATATTCATCTTTTGTGCAGCTTTTGAAAAATGCACCAGACAGGAATTTGACCCATATAAAGCCACTGAGAGTCATATGCCATCTTTGAGACTGTTGTGCTGGAAATTACTATCTCCTCAAGAGGCAAATCAAATACCAAAGGAAGGAACCAATAGGTGGAGACTGGCAAAAGTAATTTTTCCTGCTTTCCTACCCGCTTTTAGGAGAAAATACAGTGTCATCTACTTTGATCTTGGCAGATGTTTATCTTGTGCTGACTTCAATTTAACAAATGGTTTTCCTCCTACACCACCTATCCCTTTAAACAAACTCCAAGCTATGCAACCCCTTAAAGACATTATCTGACAAAAATATCACAAAAAGCAGGAATTATGGCAAGAGCCCCTGTGTATTGATGCATATGTAACATCTGTATAGAGGAACCTTCTCCAATCTAGTTTGATGCTCTGCAGACTTGTTGTTTTTCAGCTCCCAACTCCTGTGCTTTAGGATACTGCAAAATTATGATAGGCTGTGTATAACCAGTGATACTTATGATAGGTTAACCACCTACCTTAGGAAGCAGAAACACTGAAATGAAGGAAGGCTGTCTTTTTCTTCCCATTGCAATACCAGGCTAGGGGAACAGATGTTTAAAAAGTTTCAAAGCTCTCTTGCAGGTGAAAGTATTCAAGATAAAATCTGCAATACAATGGGCAGCATAGAACCTAGCAATGAGAACCAGAATTAGTACAAGATAGAAAGAGCTAACTCAACTGTGCTTAAATTAACATTGCAGGGAAAAAGTGAATCTGGATCCTACCAAAACCATCTCAGCCTCTGGAGGATCAGTATGTTCTCAGAAGCTCTTGCTTTAGTCTGTGAACTGGGTCACCTCTCCAAATATGGTGGGACTGCAACTCCCAAAATTTGCAGTTAGTATAGCCCAGTGTTTTTCAGCCTTGGCATCTTTAAGACGTGTGGACTTCAACTCCCAGAATTCCCTAGCCAGCATGAATTGAAGTCCACACGTCTCAAAGTTGCCAAGGTTGAGAAACACTGGCATAGCCCCTGAGAAATACTGTTTCTTCAAAAAATATTTCATTATACCAGACTACCCAACTGAAAAACATTTCTATATTTTAACAATGTGATGTAGCACTTCAAAAACACAAGAAAAGAAGGAAGAGAAATGGATAGAAAATTATGCCATGAACAAAACATTCCATAAAATGTGAACAAGTTGTTCAAAAATCCTCTTCCTTCTCTTTGTCAAAATGCCTGCATGCAGACACACATTTAATTCAGATGTTGCCCAACAATATACTATCAGCAATTTGTTACTCAGATCAAGGACAGATTTATCCTTCCTTGATCTGAGTAATAGTTATCTGAGCCATGCCTCACGACCCAAAAGTTCAGAGTTTCTATTATCTTGGTAGAGTCTAAATACCTGGGATATAACTACAGTAAGAAGGACATAATTACTTTCAACACACAATGACCCATTGTAATGTCATGTGATCTGTGAATTTCAGCCCCAGATATGTCAATAATAAAGTTTATACTATGGGAATTAATATTCCAATTCTTGAATTTCATTTCCAAGAGCAAGACAATTGCAGTCACTTCCTATTAAACCTTTTTTTAAGAATCCAATACATATACAATAAATGTTTCTGCTTGTTAACCTTATTTTAAGAGCAAAGGAAGCCAGCATCACATTCTTTAAAGCAACCTTCCATTGATTTACAAGGACAGTGCATTCAAACCTACAGTTCTGGAGGTTGTGTAAATAATCAATATCAATGTCATCAAATTCTTTCAATTTGTTATAAAAAGGATGGATAATTTAGCAGCCTCAGATGATTCCTTCAAAACCATAGTAAAATGAAACTTAAGAAGCAAGAATACGAACAGGCTAAAGAGTGCAAATAATAAAAGCTTAAGTAGAATAAACTGCCAAGAAGCACTCTGAGGTCAACAGAATCCAGTTTTAAGCACTCTCTCTCTCTCTTTAGTTGATTTATCATCCTTGGTCAACCTTGCCTAGCTCAGGAGCTAACCCAGGTCAGGCCTGATTGCTACCTGGATGAGAGACCATTTCCAAGCTATAGGCTAGACAGAGAAGGCAGGAAAAACAAACCAAAAACACATATTGTGAAGAAAGCTAATAGCGAACTATTTTTGAATTTTTGCTAAAGAAACCTACATAGGTGTATCCAACAAACCTCCAGGCACTGAGTTCAGCTCAAGAGTGTTTTACTTATACCTCATCAGAATTGGTCCAATTAATTATATCATGAAAGGCTCACTTCACCTGAAAATGGATTTCGCTCTTTTCAAATTATGATAATCCCATAATGTGTGATTTTCAGGGGTAGAAAGGTCGGAATTATGTGTAACCTAGCATTTTCTTCCAGCATATTGTGCAGATATTAAAAGTGATCACCAAACTAGGGACCCAGGAACTGCTGAGAAATGAATGTGATCCAGGAATGGCTTTCAGGTGGCTCTGAAGAAGATGCTACCGTATTATTGCAGCTTGTTAGTATGGAAGAAAATATTCCATCTTGTACGTGGACTTGCAGAGCTTGAAAAGAAACAGACGAACGCTTTTAATGGCCTTTGAAGAGAGACTGGAAATTAGCATAGCTCTTTAAGCATTTGGGAAAGATGCTTTAGCACTCCAACCAGATCAATGGGTCTATTTCAACCTTCCCCATCCTGCTGGTGCCATTGCTATTGGAATGACGACTCCCAGAATTCCCAACCAGCAGATCAACAATCTCAATACTCCTAGAGGGTACCAGGTGGACTATTCTAAATATGACCAATTCTGGATTAATCCCAAACTATTAAAACACCTCTTATATTTACAGCACAATAGTAAGTCTCAGAAGCAAACCTCACTGAATTCAGTATATCCATTAATTTGGGACTAAGGCCCTACTGATCCTAGTTCTGAGCAGGGATGGGTAAGACTGGGTGTCTAAACATATTATTATGTACTTTGATTTTTATGCCACTGTGCTTTTTAACTATTCTGTGCCTGCAATATAGCTTTTTAATATATTTTGCCTTTCAAATAACCTTTAAAGACAATTTAACTAAATATTTGCACATAAAAAGGAATAATATTCTAGCAGGCCAAAGAACAGCTTGGTTAGATTTTCTCTCAAGGATGTCTCACTGCCTGTGCTTTGAAGTGGTACAATCCAGAAACAGATCCCCCCCCCTTTTTAACTCACTTTTGGCTTTCTGATAGTCTCCTTTGAATGACAGCATGCATTATATTTCATTGCTGTTACATTCTGAGCCACCCCGAGTCAGGTGGAGCCTACGGTGAACAAATCTAATTAAATAATCTAGGCTGCAGAGAATTCGGCAGAATGAGAGAATTCCCATTTTGAAGTTCGTGTTTTTCTTCTTTTATCCTTTTGCTTCCTTGTGCACATTTTTAAACACTGGTTGGGAATGCCTCTTTTTTTTCCTACACACACGTTTCTTTTCTCAGCAGATACATTTATGCCTGCAATTCTTCAGCCCCAAACTACATTGCAAAAATGCGGAAAACCTTCACTGGGACTCAGCAGATGGAAGTGCCCAGGCATCCTTGTCTGGATTGGGAAGCTAAGCAAGATAAGGCCTGGTGAGTGCTTGGGTGGGAGACCTCTGCCAAGGCAAGTAAATAAATACATCCCAGAATATGGGAACAACAAACCACCTCCTAATTGTCGCCAAGAAAAGAACATGGTCACATCTGGGAAATCATCAGCAGTCAAGTTCAACTCAATGGATACTTTGCATACATATAATGGATACTATTCCGTCTATCAGCTCAAGCAGATGGACCAAATATAGTTCCTTGGCATTCCTACCTGAGAAGGACTTCAGAGCATCACCAGAGCAATCCAAGTGTTTCTGTGAATAGTTATTACTTCTGGCTCATGTCGTTCTCTGAGAGTCCCTGTACTTCTCCTTCCAATCAAGGGATGGAAGGAAGCAAAATGGAGAACTGGAATTCCAGTCTGGTTGGCAGAGCTGTGAAAAAGGGGACAGCGGATGTGTAAGGAAAGCCAGGTCTGCTCCCTTTGTCAAAGGAGTCAAAACAAATCTATCCGCTTGCAGATGACATAAAGAACTGAAAGCAACTCTGAGATCTTTCTTCTCCGTTGCCTCTTCCACCAATCCTTTTAATAAGGTGTATATATACAACTGGAATGTGTAATTTTCTCTGTGATGCATGAGTGAGGAAGTAATGTATCTCAGCGTTTCTCAGCCTCAGCGACTTTAAGAGGCGTGGACTTCAACTCCCAGAA